TGAAGGCTATGTGAAAGATGAAACATGGTATTGACATATGAGATTTGACTATTGAACTTTGGCGAACTCAAGGCAATGGGAGAAGAAAAGATGGTGAAGATATGCGTATGATCAACCATCCTAATCAATTGTATCAAGCATGTCTATTTGGGAAGCACTTAAGGAGTTTTCCAAAAGAAGTCACTATAGGAGCAACCAAACCATTTCAACTTGTGCATGCTGATGCATGTGGACCAATCAATCCACCTTCTTTTGGTAAAAACAACTATTTCTTACTTTTTATCGACGATTTTAGTAGGAAGATTTAGGTGTATTTTCTAAAGTAAAAATCAGATGCTTTTGTTACTTTTAAAACTTTCAAAACTCTTGTAGAAAAAGATTGTGATTATGAAATAAAGTTTTTGAGAACTAATAGAGGAGGTGAATTCACTTCTAAATGATTCTGTGATTTTTGTGAATTCAATGGAATTCATCACCCTTTTAATAGTTTCAAGATCACTGCAACAAAATGAAGTTGCATAGAGAAAGAATAGAATTATTCTTAATATGGATAGAAGCATGATGAAAGCTAAAAGCATGCCCAAGGAATTTTGGTTTGTTGTGCAGTGTATTTGTCCAACATATCTCCAACATCAAATGTAAAAGACAAAACTCATCAAGAAACATGGAGTGGAATGAAGCATTGCATACGCTCATGTTCCACATCAAGAGAGATCTCAAACTTAATGGTCGAAGTGTCAAACATGTTTTCATTGGCTACGATGCAAATTCAAAAAGGTACAAATTGTACAATCCAAGTAATAACAAGATTGTAGTGACAAGAGATGTTGAATTTGATGAAAAGGCAGCTTGGAACTGGGAGAAGCAAGAAGAAAATGTTTATGCTTTCTTTCCATATTTTGAAGTGGAAGATCAAGGACCATGGTGCATTTGCAAGAGATAACTCCATCTCCTTCTCTAACTCATGTTGAATCAACCACTTTCAATGAAGCTCAAGTGAAGGGTCACAAAAGATGAAGAGCATTCAAGATCTCTAGATGAAATTGAGGAGATTACCAACTTTGACGTAAATGATTTGTTTTGTCTCCATCTCCTTCTCTAACTCATGTTGAATCAACCACTTTCAACGAAGCTCAAGTGAAGGGTCACAAAAGATGCAGAGCATTCAAGATCTCTAGATGAAATTGAGGAGATTACCAACTTTGACGTAATTGATTTGTTTTGTCTTTTCCTTCACAATGAACATATGAACTTTGACATATATAAATATTTTTTAAGCAAAAACATCGAGTTAATATGATGAGGTTTTGCACTAGTTGCTTATATAGAGATTAGTTATTTGCTATTAGCTATTTCAGCTCAAATAAAGTAGAGAATTTTTCAACTTGATGTGAAGTCGGCATTTCTCAATAGCTATCTTTACTAGAAGGATTATGTAGAGCAGCCATTGGGTTTTGTGGTTGAAGGACATGAAGATAAAATATTAATATTGAAAAAAACTTTCTATGGGTTAAAGCAGGCGCCAAGGGCATGAAATAGTCATATAAACAAGTATTTTGAAATAATAAATTTTGTTTGTTGTCTTCATGAATATGCTCTTTATGTAAAGTATCATGCTAATGGTGACATTCGATTTGTGTATCTGTATGTGAATGATCTCATCTTCACTGACAACAAGCAAGCTTGTTCGAAGAATTTAAAAAAACCATGTTACTTGAATTTGAGATAACTGATATTAGATTCATGTCTTACTATTTTGGCTTTGACGTGAAGCAAATGGAAGATACTATTTTTATTTCTTAAGAAGGCTATGCAAGAGAAGTTTTAGAGAAATTCAAAATGTTTAATTGCAATTCTGTGAACACGTCTATAGAATATGGAGTCAAGTTGTCAAAGTTGGACAATAACAAAAGTGTTGATGCTACTGTCTTTAAGAATCTTACAGGAAGTTTGAGATACTTGAATTTCATCAGATCCGATATTTTTTTTGGGTTGAATTAATAAGTCATTTTATAGAAGTTTCTAGCACCTTTTACATGAATATTGCTAAAAGAATCTTGTGCTACCTTAAAGGTACTGTTGATTTTGGGTTATTTGATTCATCATCTAATGATTTCAAGCTTGTGGGATTTTGTGATAATAATTTTGTTGGAGATATTAACGATTGAAGAAGTACAATTAATTTTGTATTTTATAGATGATTGTGCAATTACATGGAGTTATGAGAAGCAAACTATTATTTACATTGTGAATTTGTGAATATGAATATGTGGCGGAAACTTCTTGTACTTGTAATGCCATATGGATTAGAAGGTTGTTGAAAGAACTTCACTTGACTCAAGAGGGAGTCATTGAAATTTCTATTGATAATAAGTTTGCATAAGCATTAAAGGAATTCGTGTTTTATAAATGAAAGAAGAACATAAATATAAGGTACCATTTCATTAGGAATTGCATTGCTAAAAAGAAAGTAGAGTTAAAGTACGTGAAGACTCAAGATCAAATTGCAAATATTTTCACCAAGCCACTGAAGTTTGAAATTTTTCAAAGACTACATGCTACTCTTGGAGTGGAAAAGAAATTCACAAATTAAGGTGAAGTGTTGAAAATGTATTGAAAAGGGGAAGTGTTGAAAATAATAATTTGTAAATTAAGGGAACTCTTTATCTCACTAAGCAGTTAAGTTTACGAATATTTATATTTTGAGTTTTCTTAGTTGGTTCATGTATCAAACTTGAATATGTGTCTTTTGAGTTTCTCTAGATGGTTCATATATTAAAGTTACATATGTGTCTTTTGAGGTTTTCTAAGGGGTTCATGTTTTAGATTTAATTATGATTAGGAATTAGACTTAATTATGGTGCATGTATTTAGACTTAAAAGTTGTTTT